CCAAGAACACCCGCCATAATCACACCTCCAACCACTGTGATCACAACTGCAGCCCATCGATTTTTACGGCCAACCACGATGTAAGACGACGCCATGAAAGCGACCGAAGTACAAACAGAAGCCAGCCACATGAGTTTATTTATGATCACCACGACTCGTCTTTCTGCTTTTGTCTCACCTCTAACTAACGTAATCTGCACAACCACGACTGCCAACGAGGTAAACAATGCGATTGCGTTGAAGATGAAGAAGATCTTGAAAGAATTAGAGCGTACGACAACAGCTGTTCCTTGATCCGTGTCGCCACCAGGCACCGTAAAGATGGCTGCAAAAGCAACTGTTGCAAAAAGCACAGCCACCACAGTTACTGAATTGGTTGCATTGTTGATTCCTTCCCTGTGCAGCTTTCTGAGCTCTTTAGAAATGTTATGCACATTTTTGTTTGTTTTTCGGGTTTGTTCAAGCTGGGTATGAACATCTTTCTTGATTTGAGTCACCGTGTTCCGCAACTCGTCTCTTGGTTGGTTTAGTTCGTTGGCTCGAACAGCGCCGTAACGAGACAGACAGTCCTTAATTTCTGATGATTCTTCTGAAAGAGGAAGCTCCTCAGCTATGTCAAAAGCAGTTTTGTGATCCCTGGTTAGAGCATTCACGTTGGTGTCTGGGAGGAGCAATAGCTCCTGCACTATCTGCAAAATTTAAGGGAAGGATGAGTATTAAGAGGGTCCTTTAGTGTACATTCATAACGCAAGAATCTCATTCCATACAATAAAACTATCATTCATAAAAGGGAAGTAGGATATGCAAACAACCGGTTAGAACTTGTAACGGCCCAAGCCCACCACTAACAGATGTTGTCCGCTTTGACCTATTACGTATCGCCGTCAGCCTCACGGTTTTTAAAACGCGTCTGTTAGGAAGAAGTTTCCACACCCTTATAATAAATGCTTTGTTCCCCTCTCCAAATGACGTGAGATCTCACAATCCACCCCCTTAGGGGCCAGCGTCCTCACTAGCACACCTTTAACAGATATTGTCCGCTTTGACTCGTTATATATTGCTATCAGCCTCACGGTTTTTAAAACGCGTCTATTAGGAAGAGATTTTCACGCCTTTATAAGGATGTTTCGTTCCCCTCTCCAACCGATGTGGGATTTCATAGAAATGTACAATCAAAACAATTGAACCTAGTTACCAACAATCCTATTCCCAAAATTCTCAGTCCTAAGACCCCGTCTAATAGCTATTTGGTGTTTGGTTTTTTAAAATTAACCTCAAACACACTATTTTTCCGGAGTTTTTTTGTTTTGTTATCTACTTTCTCAAGTATTCCAAACCTATTAAGTACTATATAAGTACTATATACTCGAACCACGTCTCATCCCCAACAATCTTATTTCCAAACATCTCGTATTCATTTCAGTGCTAGTATGCCAGATTGTCCCTTAAAAGGATTTATATAAGAGAGTTTCAAAAGGTATATAAGTTATCAAGAACTAAGAATATGAACAAACTAAAATCGACAAAGGTGATCGAGTGAAACTACCTCCACACGCTTCTTCCTCGTGGCGACGTGCAGCGCGGTGTTACCAAATTTATCAGGAAGCATTACAATGGCAGGATCTGCATCAAGGAGCAACTTCACGACATCACGCCTCTGCCCTTTGACAGCCATGTGCAGTGCAGTTTGGCCCTTCTTGTCATTTCTTCGTGCTAACTGTGGATCTTTGCTGAGTAATAGTTTTACAATTTCAGGATGACCAGAGCGCACAGCAAAATGCAATGCATTTTTACCATTAGACCTACAAATCTCTAGTAGGCTATGATCTTTGTTAAGCAATTCCTCAACTACGGCTGTGTGGCCCCGTGCTGCAGCAGTAATGAGTGGAGTCGCATTCGACGGTCCAATTGTTTTGCTTAGAGAAGGTTCATGATCAAGAAGCACTTGGACAATTGCTACAATTCAAATTAACATATGATCAATATTTCCCCAAAATTTCCAAGTGGAGAAGATGAAATCTAAGCCTAGGGCATTCATTACGGAGCAGAAGTTGAGATCGAGATCCTTACCATGGTGTCCTTGACTTGCAGCTATATGCAACGGATCGAAAGCAGACCTGTTCTTCGTCGTAAGAGTCTCTTTATTGGAATACTTCAATAGCTCCTTGACGACTTCTATGTGCCCTCTCTCTGCGGCAGTGAACAGAGCTGTTTCGCCCAATTCATTGACCTCGTTCACTACTAACGATCGGACCTCAGCAACCTCCGCATCAAAATCGGCGCCACTGAGATTTCGCACCATCTGTGAATCAATATCACCGAGAATCTGCTTCACGGCGGCCAGATCTCCCCGCTGCGCCGCCAGATGAAGTTCGGTGTCGTTGTGCCGTCCAGTTACTTGCTTCACGTATTTCTTCTTCCCCGCTTGGTCTATCCGCTTCCCTGAATTGGATAGAACCAGAGCCGGAGCCGTCGCAGTCGACGACGGAGATGGAGTCCGCGATAGCTCAGCCATAGGGTTTTGATTCGACGATAGACTCAAAATCTCCTTCTCTAAACCTTTATCGCCATCCACTACCACTGCAAAAATCCAGAAAACAAACGAAATCACTCCCCGCCTCACAAAAATCCTCATAAGAACAATTCTCAAAAAACAAAAACAAAAACTAAATCACAAAAAACAAATTCCAAAATAGTATAGTCACCTTGAGTTGAAGAACTGCCCATCTCAAACGAGAGCCAACAAGAAGCTCAAGAGATTGGCCTCCTCCAAATCTTTAATAGCGGATTTGAGAGCTCAGATTCCAACCGCGAAATTAGAGAGAGAAATTACTTCTGATAAAGTAAAAGAAAAAAATTCAGATAAAAACAATCGACGAGGAAAAATGAGACAAGAGGAAAGCTCTTGGAAATGAAGTCGAAGAATTCAGTTCTTTTTTCTTACGAGGAAAAAATGGGACCAGAGGAAAGCGCTTGGAAATCAACCGAAGAATTTAGTTTTTTTTTTTCTTTTCATAAAATACAATAAAACGTCCATTTCTTTCAACTCTACTGTTCTTCGTCGTACCACTCGTTGCAGTGGTTGCCGCGAAAAACTTTGCCGGTTGCCGGTTGCCGGTTAGTGGAATTATCGCCATCATATTCTTTTTCATTTTTTTTATTCCTAAAAATTATTATTATTATTATTGAATTAATAAAAAATACTTAATATGGAGATCAGTCTTTAAAATATAATTTTATTTATTATATCTAAAACTTATTCCCGTTTATATACTTTTTCAAATTTTTTAAATTATAATATATTAATCTTTCTATTATTATTATTTAGCTTAAATTAGTTTTAAAATATTAAAAATAATATTTTAACTTAAAAAAAATTATGGGTTATGAACATAAATTATATTTTTCCTCTTGGAATTATCTAAATCGTGATTTAAAAATATTAATTATTATTATATGAATGATTAAATTAAGGTGTTTGTATTTAGTTGTGGCACTCAAATATTTAATATCGATATTGGTTTTTGGTTGCTTTAAGTCGCCGAATAAAATGTAAAGGAAAGAACAAATGGGGCGGAAAGGTATACGACATGCGAAAGCATTTTATCCGCGGCTTTTTATTTATTTATTGTTGATTTCCCAAGAAAGTTTTAATTTGTTTATATAATGTTTTCAAAAACGTTTTTTTTTTTTTTTTTTTTTGAGATTTATGTTATAAATTTTATTTCATTTTAATAATAAGTTTGATTTTGTATGAGACTTAAATATTCTATATATGAATGAGGCTGGGAATCTTATGTATAAATAAGAGACAGTTCTTTATCCAATAAAATATTCTTTTAACTTAATTTTTATACTCAATTTAATAATTTATTCATTTCCTATTTCCATATTGTAAATAGATGAGTGGTTCTCTTAAATTTTGATTAGGTAACTTCTCAATAGTCTGGTGTTAAAGAGGTAGATTTAGGAGTAAAACAGACTTCTAGATTAGATTGATTTTGTTTGTATTATTATTATTATTTATTTATTTTTGGTGGGGAGTTGGAAACATAGAAAGTTTAATAGTTTAAATTATTATTACTTTTTAGAAAAGGAAAAAAAGGTGGATACCAAGAAGCATCTTGGAAAGTTGTTCATACATGCAATGTGGACCATATGAGGTAATTAAGCACGTGATCCTCAACTTTTTTGATAAATCAAACCAAAGTCTAACTATACACCTACTAAAAATAATTTGTAATTAAAAGTGTTAATACTATTTTTAATAAATTTGAAAAAAAGTTAATAAAAAAAAAATTCTTTAAACAAATTAAAATTACATAACTTGAGAACAAATCCATCCGTGGAGCACTTCCAAAAAAGCATACTTAATTTGAGGGAGTGATACTAAATTTCTTTTAGACTAAAAAAATAAAAACAAAATAAATAAATTCAAATGGTGTATATAATTCCATAAAATTTTTAAAATTATCAAATATCGGGACTTATATCACATAGAATAATATAAAAATTCATATACCTATCAAAATACTATTAAGCTATTGGATATACATACATTCACACTTACAGTCAAACATCACTTCCAACCTTTTCAGAAGTTATTGTGGCCAATAGTGACAACTTTCATAACTTTCAAATGCATTAGGACCATGATACACAAATCTTTCAAGAAATCAGAATAGAATATGGTTTCAAAAATCTTCGAGAGAAGACAATAGAAAAGATCAACTTGGCTTCATTTTGAAACGTTACTAAAAATTCTTGCTCTCATTAGACCATTTGTATCAGCGTGCATTAGAATCCTGATTAATGGAATAGATTCATGGATCTCTCGATTCGAGAAATTTCAGAAGAGAATATGATTTCAAAAACCTTCATCTCATAGAAAACAATAGAAAAGATCAACTTGGCTTATTAGGTGGGTTGAGTGGAAATAATGTCATGGAAATTTGGAGAAGAATGAAGTAGAATGCACTTAAAAATAAGTTCAAAAATCATGAAGAAAAAACGCCAAACTCTCAAATATATAATTGTCAATGAAAATAGAACAGCTTGGTTTAGGGTGGAAAGCCCCAAGAGAATCAGACATAAGCTTATCAAGAATACGAGACAAAACTTGTCAACAAAATTGGTCTGCCGATGCATAATCAAATGACTACCGAATATTACTACACCTTAATAGCATATTTCCTCAATGGATAGTACATCTCCTTCTTCTTCTCTCTCTCTGTTTTCAAAGACGCCTGCATCATACAATGGAACCATTCAACAAAATTGATTAAACCATGAAAGAAATGGTTCGCAGCATTACAATTGCATCAAGAAAGTGATTAGAAATGGAATCAGATGGTATAATCCAAATACCTAACCAATTCTGCAGCATTACTTGAATACTTGGTTTAGAAATCATAATTTTAATTAATGAAGGCTTCATTTGATAACCATTTACTTATTTGACTTTGGTTTTAGCCAATTAAGCTTATAAAACGAGAGGTAATTCCTATACTTAGTTTGTTAGTTTGTTATCCACTCTGTGTTTTGAAAATTTAAGTATAATCTCTGGCAACAAAAAGTTTTTAGAACTTTGTTCTTAAATTGGGGTAAGAATTCAAATGTTTTCTTGCAATGAAATTGAGAGGAAACAAACTCAATTCCAAAACCATGATTAGAAATGAAATTGTTATCAAGCAGGACCTAAAATACTTGCTTCAACTTCAGATATCAAGATTTTGAAACTAACAAAAAACCCATCTACTAATCTTGTATAAGTTTAATAGCATTTCCTTCCCATACCAATTCTTTACTGTTTCTCATCCAAACCAATAGGCAACAAGTAGTTTTAAACTTTTTTTTTTTGGCAACGTAGAAAATCTCAACAGGTATCATGCACAGACATTGTCAACATTTAAGAATAAAATCCAGAAAACAGTAAGAGACGAACACACAAAATTACGCTGTACTGAAATTAAAGGGAAGAAAGACAGTAAGATCAAGATGAAACAATTACTTGGTGCTTGGTGAGCCTTCGACGAATGGCCCTCGTCTTCTTTGGGCGCAGATCCAGAGGCAGGAGCTTCTTCTTCTTGTAAGCTTCCCTCAATGCAGCCTTCTGCTTCTGGGAAATTACTGTCAGGACTTGAGCAATCGACAATCTCACTACCTTGCTGCAAAATCAGCCAAACAGAACAACAAGGTCAACAAAACAATACGACGTATCACGGGAGAAAATAAAAATAACTAATAGAAAAAGTAATTACATTTTGGATAACTTGTTCGGGGCACCGCCGGTGACTTTGGCGACTCGAAGGAGAGAAAGCTCCGCCTTAAGATCCTTAAGCTGCGTCAACAGATCCGCCTTCGATTTCTGCCTCAACTCATGAACCTTGATCCTCGCTACAAACCGAAAACACCAAATTGAATAACAAAAATTTCATCATTATCCTCGAAGAATTAGAGAGCCAAAAGCGAATTGAGTATGTTTAATTTTGTTTATGAGAAGATCTGACTGAAAACTAACCCATTTCTTCTCGTGTGCTCTTCTACTCCACGCCGCCTCGGCAAAACCCTAGAAAAGAAGATGGGAACCAGGTGGAAGAGCTGCTACTGAGAAGACTAGGGTTTTCGAAGAGAAGGGCGTTAAGTACCATTTACGAAATGCCAAATTTGCCCTTTTGAGCCTGAAAATAAGGGTGGATTTAAGCCCACTCAACTATTCCGGCCCAATAAATCCAGGGCTTCATTTGATACCGCCATAAATTAATAGAAATATTTTTAAACTTCTACTTTGTATAAAAACTATTTTAAATAATACCTTAAACATTTAAAAAAAAATCTAAAAAATATCATAATTCTTAGTTTTGGATAAAAATAGTCGTTACTCTATTTTAAAAATATTTTTAAAGTCGAAAAATTTAGAGTTTCAAAGTGCAAGATCTCACATCGCTTGAAAGGAAGAATTAAACATTTCTTACAAGGGTATGAAAACTTTTCTATAGTAGAAGCATTTTAAAACCCATGAGATTGACGGTGATACATAACAAGCCAAAACCGACAATATTTGCTAGTGGTGGGCTTGAACGGTGACAAATAGTATCAGAGCTAGACATCAGGCTAACAAGTATATTGGATCCCTAAGGGGGTAGATTGTGAGATCCCTATCAGAGCCAGACATCAAACGACGTGCTAACAAGTATGTTGGGCTCCTAAGAGGGTAGATCCCCATCAGAGCCAGATATCAAGCGGTGTGCTAACGAGCATGTTGGGCCCCTAAGGGGTAGATTGTGAGATCTCTATTAGAGCCAGACATTATCGAGCCCCTAAAGGGGTAGATTGTGAACTCTATCAGAGCCAGACATCGACGTGCTAACGAGAATGTTGGGCCCTTGAGGGGTAGATTGTGAGATCCCTATTAGAGCCAGACATCAGGCGGTGTGCTAACGAGAATGTTGAGCCCCTAAGGGGTAGATTGTGAGATCCCTATTAGAGCCAGACATCAAGCGACGTGCTAACGAGAATGTTGGGCCTCTAAAGGGGTAGATTGTGAGAAACATCTCCCTAGCCCACTTTTAAAAATGGTGAAACTAACGACAATACATGATAACAAAGCTAGTCACTAGACATGAGATAAAAATAATAATAAATCTCGGTGTATAAAAGTAATAAAAGTAATAATATAATGTGTCACTCTCGTTCCACTCATGAATAAAAAGAATACATCCTCTTCAAACACTTCAACTGGATCAAAACTGTTCCCTATACACAAATATATCTCTTTTTCTAAAGAAAAAGAAAAAAGAAAAAGAAAAAATCAAAATATTTAAATGCTACCAAACTCTGCAACAAGCTCATTCACCAAGAATCTCTCTACTTCTCTACATATACTATCAATCTCACCTCCAAGATCCATCCATCCAATCTCCTTCCCAAACTCTTCATCTACTAAATCCTTCTTCACTTCCCTTTCTTGCCTATCCAGCAGGATCCATAATTCCTCCTCGATCATTTCGTCGCTAAGCAACGATCGAAACCGAAACCTTCTCGATACAGGCTTTGCCCATTCTGGCACACCAACAAATGACTCAAACAGTTCTACTAACCCAGAATTTATTCTGTCAAAAAGAAGCTCTCTTTCTGATCTCCTCCAACAAATTTGTTCCCCAAACTTCTTCTCTAACGTCTCGAACACTGAGGGGCTAATCACGTGACGTTCCTCGCCGTGCCATGAAACATAACCCTTCTCCAGGTTGAAGCCTGCCTCGCTTAAGACATCGACTAGGTATGAAAATTCTCTACTATCTTTGAATTTGAACGTGCTTGTTATGTTATCAATTTCATCAGAACTGCATATAGATCCTTGTCCCACGTCATCATCGTCACTTGATACGAACAAATCATACCCTTCTGTGTTAGTCTCCGAGGTGTCCGATGTCAGAAGTTCAAGATGCTTCATCAAATCTACAACCAGAATATGTTATGTTATGGAGATGGAGGGAGCTTTTAAGAAGGCATGAACTTGTAAGTGAGAAAAGTAATAAGTTCAGTCACCTCTACCGTTGACGCCCGAGGATTCCGAACTGGATAACGTTTCTTCTCGAAAAAGTGGTTCAAGGACTGAAACTGGGCTAGGTTGATAAGCCTCCTCCAAACCTTCTTGATAATCACAAAGGTTGTTCTTCTCAACTATGGTCTTCTGATCAGCACCATTCATACAGCCATCATTGTCAACATGATCACTTGCTGAATCAGGGCAAGGAAGAATCCTCAACTCCTCAGAGCTTAATTTCAAGGTGGGTTCTGAAGCATTCTTTTTATTGGAACGTCTACTCGATGGATTGCATCGTAGCCAAGAATCACGACCTTCAGGCTTTAAGAACCATGTATTTCGAAGGGCCTCGTATCGACACCTTGTTCTAGATCTTGCAGTCACCGTCGAAGCAGAACCAAATCTCAATCTGTGGGAGATTTTACTGAGTTGATCTAGTCTTTTATCATTCAAGCTCAAGCACAAGGGACTACCAGAATGCAAATGTTCCTTATTCGAACAAACATGCTTCAGGAAATCGTTTTTTTCTTCTTCAGCAATATGCTTTTCGTTTCGAGAATCATGACAATCTTTGCATTTATCATTAACTAAATGTGAACCTTTCAAAGAAGTTGCTGAAGAGGAAGAAAAGCATAGTTTATCTCCCGAGTGCGACCGTCCTTGTTTCCTGTCCTTCAATCTCGTGCCGTTATAAGACTTCGGCACACTCGGCACACTCGGCCCATTTTCAGCCTGGTTGAATACATAATTCTTTATCGGTAAATCTTGAATGCCGTTCGAAGTCTTTATCGCCTTAGTTATCGAAAAGAGTTCTTCATTCATGGTGTTGTGTCTTGTAAGTGGCATATATGCTGCCTTCTCCTGTTCCCATAACTCATCCCAGCAACTAAACTTATTTTCTACTTTGAGAGAACTAACGCGTTCTGTTGGCTCTTCTGCTGTCATCCTAAATGAATGAGATCTCGAGGACGATTTCTTCTTCTTCGGGATTTGAACCGAAGCAACCCTTTGTAAATAACCATCAGAAAGGACTCTAGAATGCCTTGGAGCATGGTGGTAAGATTGCTGCTCATCAAAGCCCATCAATGCTTCAAGAACACTAACTCTACACTGTCTAGGCTCCATTTGGAGAAGCTCTACCGACAAAACTTTAAGGTAGACAACCAATTGTCCCCTTTCAGAACACAAAGCAAAGGGTATCAATTACAAAAGATGAATAATGAAAAGCTTACTTTGTCTTCCCGTGATTTCTAGATTCCTCAATTTATCTGCTTCCTGAATACGGTAACAGGTAATTCTAATCAGCTTCAGAAGTGATTCATATAAAATAAAAGGCAAAAGAAACGTATGTGTAAGTGTGTGAAAGAGAATATGTATATACAGCACAGTCAAGAGAACAAGGGTATCAAGGAGTCTATTTCTTGAATAACTGCCCTATCCCTTTTAGGACAAAAAGAATCCAGTAGCCTCCAAGACCCAGGCTACATAATTACATATGGCCATCTCTTTGACCATAATTGGAAAGAATTCCGGTTTTTCCGCCATAGCCAACAAAAAAGGCTTCTGGGAGAGAACATAAAACTGATAGGAAGAACTAAAAAAACAGCAGATTCATCACTGGTGTCACAATCGCACTTTTCTTAGCAGCGGACTTTTGCGATTGTGCAACACTCACTCCCAACACTGAATGAGTCAACCCAATTTGGAGTCGCGTTGCTTATGGTAGAGCAATGTATGCTCAAGCCTCTGGCCCGCTTTGAAAAGAAAGTTTTAGAAAACGGGAGCAGAGAGATTTTCGAAGAGGAGTTTGAAAGCAAGGTTGAAAGAAAGATTGAAAGCAACGTTATATGATTATAAGCAAAAGGCAACAAAACGGTTTAAATAGCATATAACTTTCCGGGTATGCAGAATCTGACAACTAGTTGAATTCCGTTATAGTGCATTTTAAGGTGATTCAGATCTGATAAGCCTAAACGTGATTTCACCGAACAGTCATACAAAATCTAGGTGAGAGGAGTTTACAACCTATAGTACATTCTAAGGCATTTCAGATCTACTAAACATTTATGTGAATTTGCCGAAACACTACATACTTAGAAAATAGAATAGGACACTATAAATCATGAAAGCAGTAAAGGAAAGCAATAAAGCGATATAAGACAAGAGTTTCGGCATGCAACGGACATGCGGCCATGGACAACATACACGCCTTGAATAAACAATGACCGTGACACCTAGCAAGCATCCCATAAATAATAAGAAATTGAGCATTCAGATACATAAATGCAACGCAGCAAGGTCTGAAGTAATCAAACCGTGAAGAAAGTAAATCATTTCTAACACCTTATTTCTGGACAGCAATCATTGGAGTAAATAAAAAAGGGGAAAACGAACATGAAGTAATTCATAAATGAAGGCGGCATCAACATACTGTCATAGTATCTGGTTAGAATAAAAATTCCAATGCATAACCCACAAATTCCCAGCGACAATAAAGCAAGATCATTGAAACGCTATAATAAGCGAAGCCCACTAATAACAAAAGAAAAAGAGAAAAAAAGGAAAATCCAGAACGTAATCATTGATTTTGGTTTAAATAGAAACAAAAACAGAGAAATCAAACACAAGATAAAGAAGAAATCATACCTTCCTTCAAAACCTTTCGCATCAAAACGCCGATCTTAACTAGATCAAGTCGAAAACCCCTAATGTTGCTGGTATGAACAAGAAAGCTAAACCGATCAAGTGGCAAAGCAACACGCAATTGAATTCAAAGAATTTCAGGTCAAACACAGTAATCGAAAACGTTTGCTTATTTATACTGAAAAAAAAAACCCACAAATAGAGGTCGGCGGAGCAAATCTCACTGAAAGTAGAGGAAAATGAAAGCGGCGCATTAGAAAAGAAAAAATGGCCGAGAAAACGATGGAATATAACGGTGAAAAGTAGAGGAGAATGATGTAATTGGGAATCTTCTACCCCTTTCTCATTGTCGCATTCTGAAAATTACGCGCCATTTGCAATCATCTGCACGACTCCCGCTCGCAATTCATTTCACAAAAATACGCAAAACTAAAATTTAGGTTAAAATTATAAAATAAATAAATTTTGAATTACATGACGATTTTTCTTGTTATTTTTTGTCAGAATGATTTAATTTAAGCGGCGGCTACGATTTTTAAATGAAATCAAATAATGAATATAGATGAAGATTAGTGTCAAAATTTGATTCTTATTGACGTTTATCCACCCTAGTAAGTCCCCTTTTTCTCAAGAATAGGAACGAAAAAAAAAATTAGGGCTTTACCACAGACGCCATTGATGATGATGATGATTATCTATTCCCTACACAGCAAGAAACGTAAACGAAATTAGGGCTTTACCATAAATTATTATCTAAGCAACAGTTCCTATAAATCCCGGTTGAATTTAACATACGATACAAACAAGATCTGAAATTAGGGCTTTTATGCATGATAATCAATTTAATTTTAATTGATTTAGAAATCTGATCCTTAATTAGTATCCGAACATTGGTAAAAAATTCGAGTAAAAGTTAAAGATTCGTACTGGGATTGGGGGTGGGTTAAATTGGGAGGCCAGCACGAGAGAGTTCTGCAAAGTAAGCAGCGTCAACAATCGGCCAGCCTACAACCCCTCCACAAATTCATGCGCATTGAAATAGCAAGCGCTGCGGCCAGATCCCCCCGGCCACTTTGTTTTCCTTACTCATTAGTTTAAGGCAAGTTTTATCAGCTGACCAATGTCCTATTTATACACCACGCCCAAGGTCTCCTTTCCGCGCCTTTCCGATGTGGGAATTGCAATATCCGTCTTCAACCAATTTAAGTGTTTTGAAAACATATCTAAGTTGCCATCATATAAGAGAACGTATTTAACTATATAAAATTTTTAATATTATATTTTATCATCCTTAATTTTTATATAAATATTATATTTTATTATATTTCATTTAAATTAAAATCTCATTTCTTTACAAATGGCAGTTTTGTCGACTTTAAGCTTGATTTTTTTATCGTCATTTTGATCACAACTCATGCAAAAAAATACTTTAGATTAGGTCAAATCATAAGGTTCGAGTATGTCTCTATTGTAAGTCGAGGTCCTTCAAATAGAATATTGCTTTTCGTCTCGTGCTTTGTTACCCAAGTCTCTGCTGCATCTAAGCTATGTCTAAAAAAATTAAATAAAAAAATAAAGAGTACAAATTTACATTAGAATTAAACATACAAAAAAAAAATGTTATTTTTAATAATATGGACATAGTTTTGGGAGAGATATATAAAAGAAGAGAGGCCGAAAAACGGGTAGAGGGGCCGACGTAAGAAATGTGGCTGAGCGAACGCGCGAACACAGCGGATAGGCAATCCAAGAACAGAACCAGAAGATAAGTTCATCTCAGATTAACGAAGCACACGCTTCAGAAGCAAAGGATCTTCAATGGCGTCTCTGCATTGCTTACCCCCTGTCCAGAAGTCTCTCTTCATCAATTCTCTTCCTCAGGTCCACATTTCCTTCAAAATCAATCCAATTTTGGCTTCTGTTTTCTTCCTGTCACTCGTTCTGATTAACGATCAATTATCTTTTTTCGCTCGCAGAAACTCCATGGAAGATCTGTTTGCTGCAGAGCGGGGATTTCATTTCTTGTCAGGGCTGAGCGAGCACGCGGATCTTCAGTTAATGGCCATGCGTGCAGTTCCGAAGGTCAGTTTATCAAATTGAGATGGAAAATCAGGTTTCACTTGAATTAGAGTACTGATTATACTGGAATTTAGCTTCACATTGCGAGTTAATTGAATGTGCTTGCCATTCAGTGATTGTGTTATGAATTGAGATGATTTGGCGCAAGTAAATTGAGAGATTCGAAGGATTTACCGTGTACCGTTTCTTCAAACTCAAAAAACATTTTCTGGATTGCGTTTCCCGTGGATGATCTCACTTCATTCTTATCAGCTTTAGAAACAAATAATTTCATTATTCAATAGTTGCTCTGTTTTCATGGCAGATAGACTTGGGAGACGCCAGCTGCTAGCGGGCAGTGCGTTTATTACTTGGATTTATCTTGCAGACATGAATTTCATGTCATGTAAGATTTATTACTCCTCTTAGTTACTCATATCTTACGTTTCTCTTACATTTTCGTTGCTATTCAATTCTAAAATTAGTACCTCTAGCGTACACTGTATTTCTTTCTTCCAAAATGAAGGATGATGATATCCTAAGGGTACCCGCTTGATATTGCTCAGTTGCTGCAGAAACAAAGAAAGGGTTCTTATCGGTTTCAGACAAGAAAGACGGCTACTCATTCGTCTATCCATTTGGGTGGCAGGTACTTTTGCACACACACAATACACTTTAAATTTAAATACTTAGCACAAGATGCTCGTTTTAAAGTATTTTATTCACTCGAGTGAGCAGGAAGTAGTCATTGATGGTCAAGATAAGGTATTCAAAGATGTAATTGAACCATTAGAAAATGTCAGTGTCAATATGATTCCAACCAGCAAAGAAGATATTCGAGATTTTGGGTCCCCTCAACAGGTTAGCAATAAACTGTTCGAATAATGCATTAAGTTGGGAATTTTATCTTTAGGTAACTTCAGTGTTTTATGATTCAGATTGCTGAAACTTTGATAAAGAAGGTTCTAGCTCCTTCTAATCAAAGAACAAAGTTAATCGAAGCATCAGAGGTTTGAATATCTATACTCTTGACTAAGATTAATCATATTAGTTGCTGTGGAGTGAAATAAATAGTAGCTGTAAGCTAACTTACCCGTTGGATCTGATCCACAAACATCACTCACTCTACACAGAAGATTCTTCGGTATGTAAATCAATCATATAAAATGGAAATACACCCAAAAGTGCGACCAGTTCATTTGTTCAATCTGTGATGTGAAGTCCATTGGCTCATCCCTTTATTCCAAGCTCATGGCTACAAATATTGACGATAGAACCCATTCCAATGAGGTCGCTTGTCACTTCTTCTTGGCCATCTTCTCTTCACTTTGCTGTAGGATATATGCTCCAAATTTCATTTTGGCACAGTTTCTTCACATCAAGATAGCTCTCCTTGTGAAGTCTGGCCTAATATAGAAAAAGAAATAGCAACCAATAAGCTACTTGTACCTTGTTTTAATTAACGTTCAAAAGTTTGTCCATGCGAGGAAGTGTCCTAAGTTGTTCTAGTTTATGGGTTTGTTACGTTTCATATGACTTTTGATTCCCATAGAAGCATTTGAAGGAGTTCATATTTGTTCGACTTGACAAGTTTATACGACTATTGCTGTACAATTTTTCTAGCTTTACATGTTACCCTCCACAAAAAAAAAGGTACATTCTCACCACCTCTGTTATGTGTTGATGATGAATGGTGCAGCATGACATTGATGGGAAAGCATACTACACATTTGAGTTTGTAGCTCAAGCTCCAAACTACACTCGCCATGCTCTCAGCACAATTGCTGTTGCCAACGGTATGAAACTTCGGTAGTCTTATTTTACTGTTGCTCGGAAACATCTTTTCTAAAGTCTTTCTTGTTCATTTTATCCCCACTGAACAGCTTTGTTTTTTTGTCTTAATCAACAATCCAACCATAACTAAATGACTTTTAACTTAATGTTGTGCATATCCATATCCAGAATTTTGAACGAAAGAAAGTAACTTCATTTTTAAAATCTAACTGAGATTCCTAACAAAGCTCTTTTTTATCATTTCAATGGCAGGAAAATTCTACACTTTGACAACCGGAGCAAATGAGAGGAGGTGGGAGAAAATGAAAGATAAATTGCGCACGGTCGTCGATTCCTTCACAATTTCAAAAGTTTGACGGGGCTCCGATGTGAACACGTTTATCATTAATTTAGATTCTCTCAGGTTGTTTACAACTTAAACTTGGGTAACTTATCCACCCTTTTGTTCATTGATTAATTACAACACCTTGTAACGACAGATTTACTTAAATTCCTGACAAATTGTGTGAAGGGGTTTTCATTGAAAAATTAAGAAATTATACAAATCTTGCTATTGACAATGGCTCGTGAAGGAAGAAAACCAAAATATCAGAAGGAACTAAAATTTATGATTATGACTAGACATCCAGAAAAGTTGGTGAAATTCTTGGGTGGGAGAAGAAAGCAGGGATCAAGAAAAACCAGTCTATAGATTTATATTGTTAGTGGAAATGAGGAAAATAGGTAAAGTAAAGAAATGCAGACTTCTATTACATTCAACCACAAACCCTACCATTCACAAGCCAACAAGCGTTGCAGCAGCTTGGTGAAAAACAACTTACTGATTGCTAGAGAAAATGGAGGTCATTCCATAAATCAAAATTGTCACTGCGAAAGATATTCAATTTTCTCAAACAAAAAACGAATGCCAATATCTTAGATGATTCCAATCTTGTTTGCAACATCCAAAGCATCATAATCGGGAGTCAGCCTTACATATGCCTTCTTGGTTCCATCAGGCCTGCAAATCGTTGGATAAAGCAAGCAACGTTGTCAGTGTGAACATTTTATGATAACCATTGCAGCCATTAATTTCATTGATAAGTCGGCTCTAAGAATGATAACAAGAAACTTCCACAAGATGATGGATTATTTAAGATTGAGATCATATCTGGGAAGAACCCAACTCAATATTCTAAGAAGAAACCATAGGAATGTTTGATTAAGATTTTACCTGATCAACGTGTTCACTTTCTTGGTCTGGATGTCATACATCTTCTTCACGGCATCCTTGATCTTCTTCTTATCAGCACGAATGTCCACAATGAAAACCAAAGTATTATTGTCCTCGATCTTCTTCATTGCAGACTCAGTAGTCAAAGGGTATTTAAGAATCTGATACTGGTCCAACTTGTTCCTTGGAGTAGCACTAATCCGTGGATACTTAGGATTTCTTTCCTTCTTCAATGTCTTAGGACGGTGAAATGTGACAGACGTTCTGATTTTCTTCGCTTTCTTCTTAAATGTTGGACCCGATTTTACTGCCTTGGCAGTTTTCAAGGCTTGTGCCTTAGGGTCAGCCTTTTTGGTGATGTCAGCTGAGAGGGAAAAGAAAGATCAAGCCTGGCTCGTTTATTCACTCAAAACTAATCCTTCCTATATGTGTAAATTGTCAATGCCTATCTCTTCTATATATCCTACGAGCATTCTCACATAGTTCGTAAAAATGATATTCATACTAACAATATAATCACCATTTTTCTACTTTCGACAACGGTGTGAAAGAAAAACTAGTGAAGCAGAGTGATTCAGGCAAATCTTTCGATCGTGCGATTCTATGAAGTTAGTAGCCCGTGGACTAAATTCTAAACAGGCTATTCAGATCTTGTCGTTTCAATTTTGCAATTATCTGCTTCTTTTAAATTCGAAGCTCAAATGTTTTCAACAACTGAGTCTAGAGATCCAAATCGCGTACAGAATAAATATCGAACGGCAGTCATGAGAAATGATATAGCACGGAAAATAATTTGAATGTCCTATGCAACTATAAATGCAAGAGATTTTTATAAAAACGAGTAATCGTTAACTGTTCGATGTATAAATTGATAAACTTACCTTTCGGAGCCATTGCAAAGTCCTCTACCTAATCGCTACTCCGACCTGTTCGTGGTACAAAAAACGGACATGGATATCAACGAGTGGAGAAAACTAGCAACTAATTGCCAAGTGAAAAGCGAGTAAATCTCATACGAATCGAACTAATGGCATCGAATGTAACCCCAACCCTAACCCTAGATACAGAAGAAGAAAAAACAGGCATCGAGAGTTTGAGAGGAAGTGAAGCGAAAAAAAGATCTTACGCGGACGAACAGCTGCAATCGGAAAGGCTAGGTTTCAGCAGGGGAGTAGACGATGTGCCTTATATATATATTAGGGTTTTGTAAATACACATCCACTCGCACAAAGCGGTAGCCGGTGTGTATACTTTTTTCGATTTTAGTTTATATTACTAAATTTAATATATATATACATATATATATATATATATATATTTTTTTAATTCAAAGATATTTTTGAAACATTATTGAAAATTTTATAGATATTTTCGAAATATTGAATTAAATTACTAATTATTTTTTATTTTTTATTTTTATTTTTAAATTTAAAAGATATTTTTGTTATAAAATACCAAATTTATGGGTATTTTTCAATTATCCTTAATTCATATAAATTTAAAGATTTTAAAATTAATCTTGTAATTAAAAAAAAATTAACAATCTTATTTACTATATATGAAAATTGTTGGGATGAATTCCAGTCGACAACGAATTACAAAATTTTCCCGGGAAAATAAGTTGATTCCATCGAGAAAATCTCTTCCGTTCATCGAACGAATCATTGGTTGACCTCTAGTTTTCCAGTCCCACTGTTTGGGAATCATCAGAGTCGGTACAATTCTATGCCTTGGTTTTGCACATGGAGATTACATACGCATCACCTAGCGTGACGAGTCTTGCTTTCGCTAAGTCTGCCCTTCCGCCATGCATTCCTCGAGCCGATCCGTCAATGTTGTTCCATTGCAGCATCCTAGTACGACTTCGTCCTCGCCGGCCGGCTATTTGTATGCCGGCGCTCTGGTGAAGACATGGACGGCGAAGGTTAAGCGGATGACTTGGATTCACTGGATGGAGCTCCCGTTGGTTTAGAACGTATAAATGGCGGGAGTATTTACAGACCGATCTCTTGTCCGGGATTACTATTGGCATCATGCTCGTTCTGCAGGTATTATCGCACTCTTTCACGAAGTTTGTTTCAGAAATGATAGTGCTAGTTCGATTTTTTTTTTTGGTTGTTTCCTTCAATCGTCGACGAAGGAAGTACAAGATGTTTGGATGTTGTTCGGTTTTGGAACCGAGTGTTTTTGGTTTTGGAACTTGTACGTTGCATCCCAATTGGTTCAGGACACTTCGATTTTGATTTTTTCTTATTTTCTGGATTACTTCGGGTGATAGGAAGGATTTTTGTATTACGTCCACTCGAAATCAGTCCAAGTTTAAGTTTAGTACGAGTATCACAATTCACAATTCCTTTAAACGTTCAATCTTGGTTAAAGAAAAAAATAAATTTATCACGCTTGGATTTCTAGTTCAATCAGTCAAGCAGGAAAAGATTGATTATTGGACCCTTTTCTAACGCCAACTATCTTATTGGCCCTATAATTCAACTCTCCAAGCATCTTGCTTGACAATTAAGAGTTTCATTTCATCAATTTTGACTGTCACGTTATGGCGTGGTGTTTGTTAAAAAAGAACGATGAACAGTAGAATTGTACAAGTTAAAGCTTCTAGTCAGATTGAATTGTCGGCATAAAAATAATGTATATGTTCTATGGATTAGTAAGTTCAAAATATCTATTACAGTGATAAACAGATAATGTAAAATTTCTTATCATAGATCAAGTTTTTTGTTGCTGTTGTTCTTGTTATCGTTGTTGGAGATTTTGACCTGTCTAAGACTGTTAATTTCATATTTCACAATAGTTGATTGTAAGTTATGGTCTGACTGCTTGTTCTGCTTGTTCTGCTTGTTCTGCTTCTCGTCAGCTTGCAGTTGGTCCAGTAGCATTGGTTTCTCTACTGGTTTCTGATGTCTTGGGTGGAATTGTCAATTCATCCGAGGAATTATATACTGAACTTGCGATATTATTGGCACTCATGGTTGGAATATTGGAATGCTGATGGGGCTATTGAGGTAGATATCCTTTTCCATCCTAATTGTTTCACGCAAAACGCTATCATTTCATGATCATATCTCAATATTTGGAGGTCTTTGACAAATTAGGCAATTGAAACAGAAGATTTTTGTAAAATTAGTCATCTATTACATTAATATTTGTTTTACATCATCTTAGGTTAGGAATCACGAATATCCACAATAGTATGATATTGTCCACTTTGAGCATAAACTCTCATTGTTTTGCTTTGGACTTTCTCAAAATGCCTCATACCAATGGAGATATATTCATTACTTATAAACTTGTGAAAATCATCTACATTAACCAACGTCCCCAACAATCCTCAACATGTAAAGTATTTCTTAAACTGAACATAGAACAAAATTATTGGTTTCTATCCTATTTGGTGACCGTGATATACATCAAAGCATTATTTTTAGGGAATGAATATTCCACTTCTATGAAAGCTGGTGCCTTAATCAACACCAATCTAATGGCAGAATACTTTTGTAGATGTCTCCATCAATAATGTTTCTCTTCGATCATCTATTTCCCAAGAATAACATGAGAAGCATGTGGTTTTATGTGAATTTTATATTGCAGGTGGGTGTTTCACTGGTCTTTGTCATTCACGAATCTGCAAATCCACATATGGGTAAGCGGTTCAATTTCTAATGCTGATATGTGAAACTTGGCACACCGTGTGCCACATTTAAATCTTACCTCTGTTGAAATTAATGTTGTGTGATCAATTTGTATACCTTCTCAGAAAGATGCATGGTGAATTTCCATCATAGATACTCTAAACTCTGCATTAATTATGCTTTCTATTTCCAAACCAATCAAAACTTGCCATAATAAGGGAACTTCTAAACTTCATGATTCATTTCATATAATCGCAATCAACCTTTTTTTTATGCTTTGATGGTATGCTCGTGCTCCTGGAACTATCTACCGGTTGAGTATTGTTGGGAGGGAGCCCCAAATTTACTAATTTAGGGAATAATCCTGAGTTTATACGTAAGTAATACATCTCTATTGGTATTAGGCCTCTTAAGGAAGCCCAAAGCAAAGCTACGAGAGCTTATGCTCAAAATGGACAATATGATACCATTGTCGAGATCCGTAATTCCTACCACTATTTTCAAGAGGCCATGAGTTCTGTCCTATTCTTCTTATCATAACATGTTTTATCTTAGTGGCTTCAGTAATACGGTTTGCAGGACTGTAATTAGTATCCAACAATGATTTCCACTACTCATACTGAGACATACTTTGTCCGGATTATGTAAGGTTATCTTAACGTGCCCAAAAAACACTCTCCACTCAAAATCGTCCTGTTTGAAAATGATGTTTAAGTGCTTTTGTAGTCTTATCCACTTGAAATGTTTTGTGAGAAAAACCTTGTAGATTTTCTTTTTTCGGCTCAAGTGCTTGTTAAGGAAGTGTTTAAGAACACTTTCAAGAGTAAAGAACCCAATACTAGAGCAATTTAACACCTAAACCTATAGCTTCCATTTATTGTTCTTTTAGTCTTAATTATTAATCTCTGTTTCTATTTTTCCATTGTGTTCTCTATGTGGGCAGCTGTTACTTATATAGATTCAAGTGCTGTCCAGGCTCTGAAAGATCTGTATCAAGAGTACAAATTTCGTGATATTCATGTACTTATAACTTCATTGCTCTTAACTCAAATAATTACTGAATATTTCTTCATAACCACTTGGTTTGTGTATAGATTGTCATTTCCAATCCAAATCGAGACGTTTTGCTTATATTTTGAAGATCTGGCGTCGTCGAGCTTATTGGCAAGGAGTGGTTTTTTGTGAGAGTTCGTGATGCAGTTCAAGTTTGTCTTCCGCTTGTGGAGAGCTTGAAGGAAACGACCAAGATAGCAGAGTCTTCACCAAATGATGCATCAAGCTTCCAAAAGCTTCCAAGTTCCAAAGAAATCCACCCTTAATTGGAACCTTTACTATCTCGACAGCCTTCAAAATGATTTGGCCATTAATTTTGCCAAAAAGTTGTGCATACCAGGAAGTCGAAGGTTCAAATACCCATATTCCTATTTGTATATAATGATATCGAGTTATTATCATATATTTAAGTGTGGTTATAAACGCACCTTGTTAAACATAGTTCACAGACCCGAACATGTAGTTGAACTAAACAATAATAAATAAATAAACGTTAAAATTAGCTCGGTAAGAAGAGTATTGCAAGCTTAAAGCCTCTTTTACTTGAATTCATGCTTAGAATTATGAATTTGTTTCCGTTCAAAATTTGGGTTGACGGAGTGATCGAACAACTTAACTAAAGTTTCTAATCTAATTCTTTATTATGACTCGAGTTGGATTGTGAAAATTTTTCAAGCCAACTCAAAATTTCCCGTGGGTTAGATTGGTATAGAGATGAGTTATGAAATTGTTTTTTTAATTATGTAAAAAATCATAATTATCTAATTAACGTTAGATTAAAATCTCATAAATTCAATAATTAAATTACCAACATTAATTACCAAATTAAAATATTCTTGATATTCGTATAATCTTTTAAGAGTAGAATAAGATAGAGTCGAATTGTTAAGTTGAATTGTTTTAAAATAACTAACCTATTCCCTCATATGGAAATAGAATGGATTGATCAACGGTTGAATTTGACTCCATCGGCTTAGATTCAAATAATTTGATAATATATATATATATATAGTTTTTATAATTACGTAATGTCTCTAATTTGTAGTTAAAAGTGATTGTTTGAGTACATCTTTAATTTTACATAATTAATTAATTATTCCTAATTATGTTTTTTTTTGTAATTTTAAATTATTTTATTTTTATTGTAATGAGAATAAACAAAATTTAAAATTTGGACTTTTGAAATTGGTAAGATTAAGCCACCAAAAAAAAGTTATTTATTATACCAACAGTAATTATTAGTTACCTTAAACATTTTTTAACTATTACATTCTGATATCGGTTTATTCATATATTCAAACATCGTGTTTATATAACAATTTAATTAATTTATAATATTATAATATTAATTTGGTTGGTAAATAATGCAACAAGTTTATATCATTTAATGCATATGGAAAAATATTAATTCTAGAAATAAAATGATAAACAAATTTCCATGATTATAAATCATTTTGTAATTGAGATCCACAAAAGAGAAGAAATTAAAAGGAATTAATGACATGTCTCTGTCCATCTATCTTTATTTATTTATTTTTTTTATGATTAAAAAAAACCACTTTTTCTTTCACTTTAAAATATTTATTTAAAAGAATTTCAAAATGGGGTCGAACCCACAAACAAACCCAAAAAAGCAGAGATATAATAGCACTCTAAAAAGTGCACATGATCGCTCAACAATAAAGAGAAAATGGTCTGTCATTCATTGAGAGAGAACACTTCAATTATGTCTCCCTCCCTCTATTGCTAATCTCACCGCTACTTTCACCCGACACTGCCACGTGTCATCCATTACCCTATAAGTTTTTCATTTCCATTGACTCTTTTGAACGAACATAAAATTTTAGAGCGATTGTAGTGGTGACTTGAATAAGCCGTTTAACTCAATTCAGATTGAGTTGGATGATTGACCTTTTATTAAAATTATATTAATAACAAAGATATTACATTATTAACCTTAATTTAAATTTCAAATGTTTTTAATTTTTATAATAATTTTTGGATTGGATGGGATGGAATAATAACTCTATTTTTTTTAATTATTTGGATTAATTCAAAATTAGTTTGAATTATGAGATGGGTGAGTTGTCAAAGGCAGTAGCCGTACTCAAAATGTTGAAACGCATCGCCTGCATTTGACCGTTAAAAGAAGGGCAAAAGGGAAATAATATATATATATAAATGTATATGATAATTTGTTTTATTTTTTGGGGGTGATACTTTGGGCGAGTCAAACATTTGCCGGGTGTCTCCGCCATTTTTGACTACTCTCACACAGCTGCGATAACCATTTGTTGGTTCTCTCTTTCGAGAAAGAAAGAGAAAAAGAAAAAGGAAAAAAAGAAAAAAAAAATTGAAAAAAGGAAACAAGAACACTTCCACAGAGGAGGACCAAGGAAGGAGGAGGAGGAGAAGAAGAAGAAGAAGAAGAAGAAGAAGAAGGGGAGAGGGTGATTCTGAAACCCTAGAAACAGGACAATTTTTTTTTTGTATGTTTCTTTGGGTACAGAGGAAAGTTTCCACTAAAGTTAGCAGATCTGTGGCTAAATTTAGGGGGAATTAGGGTTTTTGTTTCTCTGTTTTGGGATTGACGGAGGGTGTGGTAGGGGATTAGGGTTTCTTCTTCAAGATGATGATTTCTAGGGGGTTGTTTGGGTGGTCTCCACCTCATATACAGCCCTTGACTCCTGTGTCTGAGGTATCGGAGCCGCCGGAGTCTCCGTCTCCGTACCTTGACCCTGGTAACGACCCTACCGGCGAGCGGCTTGAGGAGCCGGAGGAGATCGAGGAGCCTGAGGAGATTGAGCCGCCTCCTGCTGCTGTGCCGTTTTCGCGGCTGTTTGCATGTGCCGACCGGCTTGATTGGACTCTCATGGTCGTTGGATCGATTGCCGCTGCAGCACACGGTACTGCTTTGGTCGTTTATCTCCACTACTTTGCTAAGATTGTCCATGTGCAGAGGATTCCTCAGCCTGAGCAGTATCAGAGATTTAGGGAGGTCAGTAACTGATTATTGGAAACTCTCCTTGTTGTATGCCTCTGGTGATCGCTGTGTTTGTTTATCAGGGAATTGCTAAAATTGAGTATTGAGTGCCGGAACTGGACTGTTACTGAGCTAATTTTCTTGGTCAAGGTGGCTGGGCTTAGAATATAGGTTCCGGAGTGATTCTCTTTTCTTTTTGATTGATTTTCTTTGGTAGTCGGACTAAGAAAATCTTCCATTTTGAAGCTTTGTTCTTTTAATAGAAATATTAGTTTCCTTTTTCTTGATATTCCATTTGCTTTTCTCATCACTCAATGTAACTAGTTGGTGGTCTGAATATTTTTGATAAATAAAATACTACTTGCAATCTTAAATCCTGATGTAGCTGTAAGTTTATGAACTCGTAACTCAGGTGCTTGACTTCGAAAAGATATGGTGGATGTAGCTTGTG